CTTTTTCATCTTCCCAAACTGAAGCTCTGCTCCCACTAAGCACGAACTCCTCGTTCCCTCCTCCCCTCAGCCCTGGCAACCAACATTCTACTTTCTGTCTCTTTAGACAGGACTATTCTAGGTACTTCATGTAAGTGGAATCATGCAGTATTTGTCCTTCTGTGTTTGGTTTATTTCAAGTAGCATGTTTTCAAGGTTCGTCCGTGTTGTTACAGGTGTCAGAATTTGCTTTCTTTTGAAGGCAGGATTATCTTCCATTCTATTTATGTACCATCCTTCGTTTATCCATTCACTATTTTTTTTTAAAGATTTTATTTATTTGACAGATAGTATGAGAGAGAGAGCATGAGAGGGGGGAGCGTCAGAGGGAGAAACGTAGGTTCTCCTGCTGAGCAGGGAGCCCTATGCGGGACTCGATCCTGGGACTCCAGGATCATGACCTGAGCTGAAGACAGTCGCTTAACCAACTGAGCCACCGAGGCACTCTATCCATTCACTATTAGCAGACACGGGTTGCTTCCATCTTTTGGCTACTGTGAATAATGCTGCTCTGAACATGGGTGTGCAGAGATCTCCTTGAATTCCTGCTTTTGGTTCCTTTGGGGGATATATAGCTAGAAGTGGCATTGCTGGATCATGTGGAAACTCTCAGTTTAACTTCTTGAGGAACCACCATACTGCTTTCCACAGGACTGTACCATTTTATGTTCCCACCAGTGAGGCACAATGATTTCAATTTCTCCATACCCTTACCAACCTTGTTATTTGCTGTTTTGTTTTTGTTTTTGTTTTAGTAATAGCCATGTTATTGGGTGTGAAGTGGTATCGCCCTGTGGTTTTGATTTTCAAATTTCCCTAATGATTAAAGATTCTGCCTGGTGTCTTAACTTTGAAAGTCCTGTGCCTCAATCTATTGAGAGCCTCTATCATAAGGAGTACATTTTCAAATAATTAGCAGGGACTAAAAGAATGGTGACAATCACTAAAGTCAAGATCCATCAAATGTGCATGCTATCCCTCACTCAGAATGATTTCTTTAAAATTTTAAGTTGTCACGAAAGATTCCTCACTCACGTCCAGGGTGTAGTGCTGCACAGCAAGCTTCTAGCTCATGGGACAGTGAGCAGCAGTTTGTTACGTAGACTACCCACGTAACGTGTTAGCGTTACAAGTGTTAGGATGACTCTTAATTCTTATTTTTCTTAAAACAAAAATACCACACTCATTTAATTCCCATGCAATATTTTTTAAAGTGAGATATTGCTAAATATCTAATAATATAAATTCAAAAATTTTGTGAATCAATGCCAGAATGAATAGCAGGCATTATTTTAAAGAAGTAAAAAATGAATCTAATCGTCCCCCTGGTAATGTGTTACTAAAGCAAACACTGCGCTGCTAAAACCTTCTGCAAACTAGACAACATTTGTGGACTTTCTGATAACACCACTTTTTCTCATTTCTTTAATTTATCTTTCATGTAACCAAACACGAAACACGGAGGCTACAAATGGCAGAATTTCGGCAGGGTCATCAACTAGAGAATCAAGAGAGGGATCGAAATCTTTAGCTTTTGCCAACACAGAATGAAGCTGGTAATTTGGTCGTAAAACCTCAGGAGCTGACATATTTATTAAGTTACATGAACACATTTACAATATGACGTTGTTGGGACGCCTGGGTGGCTCAGTCGGTTAAGCGTCTGCCTTCGGCTCAGGTCATGATCCCAGGGTCCTGGGATCGGGTCCCGCATCGGGCTCCCTGCTCCGCGGGGAGCCTGCTTCTCCCTCTGCCTCTGTCTCTCTCTCTGTCTCTCATGAATAAATAAATAAAATCTTAAAAACAAAACAAAACAAAACAATATGACGTTGTTATGACTCCTGACGATACTAAGGTCTGTCTACAATTATACTTTAGAAATCCATACTATAGAATTTACATTTTTACTGAAGTGAAACAAAGCAGTCAAAAGGCTTGTTTGCTGACTATCACCTTTTAATCAGAATGTGAACAAAAAAGCGGAGGGGAATGTTTAGGAACAAAGCATGGATTCAGTCAGAGCCTCAACTCTGCCAAGGCCTGGGTGTGCAAGAGTGAATAAGACAAGCTCCAGTGAATGTTAACTGGCAAGGAAAGTGAAAGAGAAGAAGAGGAGGAAAAAGAAGAATACAGCTGGGGTCCCTGCTCTCAGGGAGTGTATTATCTAGAAATTAACGAGGAGCTGGATAATGGCTGGCTTGACAGGGAAACACACAGATTCTGACAAGGGAAAAAAGTCATCAGAATGTGTAGCCAAGCTCTAGATCTGAGTGTCGATAAGACCCAGGAAACAAGGGTGAAATGTGGGGGGAAAGGCGAGATAACTTTACAAGGGAGAGATTGACTGTCAATACCTAATGGATTAGCCTCCTTACTAGTGGGACAACCAGCCTTGGGAGCAACAGAAGTAGCCAGAATTGCAGATCATGTGTTCTGGCCAAAATTATTTAACTGGAATTGAACGAAGTCTTTAGAGCTGAGTTAAGTTATAGGAAATAGAGTGCATAAAAGAACATGTTAACAAGACCACAGTGAAACAATCCAACAAATCCAGATCATGGGATATTCTATAAGACAAGTGGCCTAGTCTATTTAAAAAGTCAATATTCTTAAAGTAGAGAGCAATTCAAATTAGAAGAGATTTAAGAAGTCTAATGATCAGGTTTTTATGGATCCTGGTTTAAAAAAGAAAAAAAGCTACAGAAGACATTGGTGGATAAACTGGGAAAATTCGATACAGATGGTGAAATAGTTATTAGGAAATTGCTGCTAATTTTGTCGGGGCTGCTAATGGCATGGCACCTATTCAGGACAAATCTCTATTTTTTGAAGATACAAAACATACTGTATTGGTACAATATCACAATGACTGCCATTCACCTGGGAACTTTGGGAAGATGAAACCAACATCGCAAAATGCTTAACAATCTCTGAATCTCGGGGGTGGGTATATGCATGCCCACTGGAATTTGCTTTCTACATATTAAAAAATGTCCATATTAGAAAGGCTCAATAAATAAACAAATCTGAGAGATTTGCTCAGATATAAGCATAATGCACTTTTTTTAGAAACTGAAAGCATGACAAAAATTTTACACCATATAAAAAGTAAAGACATTTCAGACTACAAATTAGTTTATATTATCTTAATTTGGAAGCATATCTAAAAATGCTAGAGGTCTTTAACTATGCATTACATGCCTACTTTTGAAATATGCCTTAAAGACCTAAAACTGACATGCCCCTGGAACTCCTCAAGCTGGCTCAACTCAACCTAAAGCAAAAGGGTTCTTTCCCTTCAGAGTGAAGTCAAACGTGACACACTGCAAGATAAATGGTAGCCTAACATGAATCTGAAATCTATATGGAAAATGTCCAGCTGGTAGTTTGGCTCTAAACTCATATAGTATCACATTCCTGATAGTGAAAATGGCTATATTTTTTTCCCTTAAAAAAAGAAAATAAATAGAAAAAGTGATGGGAAAACCAAAATCTCCAGCAGACACATTCTTACCATTGAAATAAAAACAAAGGCCAGGCCAAAAGGGGGGCTCTTTTCTCTTTCTTTTTTTTTTTTAAAGATTTTATTTATTTATTTGACAGAGAGAGACACAGTGAGAGAGGGAACACAAGCAGGGGGAGTGGGAGAAGGAGAAGCAGGCCTCCCACTGAGCAGGGAGCCCAATGCGGGGCTTGATCCCAGGATCCTGGGATCACGACCCGAGCCGAAGGCAGACGCTCAACGACTGAGCCACCCAGGCGCCCCCTTTTCTCTTTTTCTTTAGGGAGATTTAAAAATATGAAGATATGACCTATTACGTCAAGACATATAGCTGAAAACATTGAAAAATGTTATTTTACTTAAATAAATACTCTGAACCTAAACATGGGGAAAAATCTCCTGAGCTTCGCATTCTGCTACCTGGTTTACTGTTATTATTAGAGATCCAAAGTTTCTTTTATGTGAATATACACAGTATTGCTCTTTCTTCTACTTAAAATCCTTCACATTTTTAAAACTATCGCCTATCCAAAGAATTTTAATTATTTGCCATTAAATTTCCACAATTCCTATTTCAATCCTACAGGGCATATTTCAACTATTTGTCTCTTTAAGCTTATATTTAGCATGATATTGATGAGTTCGAATGTAAGAGAAATTGAATGGAAATAAATAAGAAGGTTATGCAATGGCTTTTCTGGAGAACTCAAATGAGAAATGTTGACAATAGCTCCCAAATACCTGCCACCTCTCTTTTCATTCCATCCACTCAGATTTCTTTCCTTTTACTTCCCTTTCCCAGAAGTATTGGGACCACGGGGACCTAGATCATATTTTTCTCCATTCTCCTATGTGATCTGGAGGCAAAGCAAGAGGATACCGGTATGGCTGGAGCCAATTATACCTTGCCTTTGCCAGCTGCTACTGAAGGCTTGCTCACAGAAGTACTGGAACATTCCAGCTTTATTCTCGGCCTCACAGACGCCACGACAGGGCAGAAGCATGGCCAACAGGCTTGACGTTATCCCTTTATTTCCTAGCCTTATTACCTACATACAAGCCTTCTGCAATAACTTTGTACAGTGATAACAGCAAGACAATAACCTCAAAAGGAATTTCGTGTGTGATCCCCCTCCCCTGGGGTATCTGATGACATGTGACACACAGGCTGACAGAGAATCCTGAACTGCTGAGCATGCTCTGCTGACAGCTTCCCAGAACATCAAACCACATGCAAACAATGTCACTCATCTCCTCACAGATACCTGGGAATGATAAATGTGACAAGTACTGATACCATGGACTACTTCTGTGCATCACTTGAATTCACCTGGTGGAAAAACAGTCTGAACAGAATGGAAACATGTTTAGAAACAAGCCAGACTTTCCTGAAGGTCATCACAAGAGTGTACAATTCAGCAACCCAGAGACATTCTTCAATGGTTCTGGCCTGACCTACCTGTCTTAGGTCCAGAGTGATTGTGACCCAGTGATATTCTCTCCCGTTTTGAATACTGGGACTTTGCCACCAGTTATTGGTCCCATCGATTGCATTTGATATTGGATGGCGTTCTGTGAAAAGAAAACATACATGGGTTTCTCTTAGCTCTTGGTTTCAAGTTTTTGACTTCCCAATTGCAAGGCTAGTGGCAATGAAGAGCAGGGAAGGTGAACACAAACTTCATGACTCCTAACAGAAGTCTTTAGTCATCATTTCAAGAAGTATCAATTCCCAAGGGTCCTTTGGAATGGGAGCGACACTTGCCTTTGGGGTTGGCGCTGTTGGCATCACAGATCCGGCACTGGGCGTTGCGCACGGGGCGACCAGGCACGTGCTCCACAAGCTTGCAGGACATCTCGGGCCCTTGCTCCCCACAGGTTGCGTTGGTGCTGATGTGTGCGTTGCTGGCAAGATTGAGGATGGCAGGAAACAGCCCTGAAAGTCAGGATTCACCAGATCAGCTCAGCCACTTGGAATCAAGAGAATCTCCCTTTGCAGGTGAATCAAAAAGATTTTTAAGTCTATGCGCCGAGTGAAGGGCGTCTTACACAGAAGCAGCTCATATAGGGGTTTCATGTCTATAAAACTCTAGGACAAGCAAAACCCATCTACCAGGAAATACTCAGAACAATGGTTTCAGGGGGTGGGGATTGCCTGTGAGGGGACACAAGGGGACTTTTTGGGGTGATGTAACATTCTATGGCTCGATGAAGGTTTGGATTACACTGACGTGCTGTTATGAAAAATCATAGAAGGCACAAGTCTACAATTTGGGTAGATTTGAGTATTTCACTGTATGTGCATCTTAACTCGAAAACAAAAAAGAATTATAAATAAATACTCACATAAATGCTTAAAAGTTTAGAAGCAAAGCACACTGATGTCTAAACTCACTTTGAAATGCATCAAAAAATAAGCCAGTTTGATGGATAGCGATGGAACATGGATACATAGGTGATAGAGGAAGAATAAAATGTTCATTGTAGGGTCGGGAGGAGAGATGTTCATTGTACAATTCTTTCCGCTTTTCTGATTGAAAAATCTTCATAATAAAATGTTGTGGGTGGCGCCTGGGTGGCTCAGTTGGTTAAGGTCTGACTTCGGCTCAGGTCATGATCTCAGGGTCCTGGGATCGAGCTCTGCATTGGGCTCCCTGCTCAGTGGGGAGCCTGTTTCTCCCTCTCCTTCTGCTCCTCACCCCACTCATGCTCTCTCTCTCTCTCTCAAATAAATAAATAAAAATCTTTAAAATAAAAAAAAATGTTGGGAACATAGGTTTTAAGACAAGTTTCAAATGATCCAATGCATGTATCTGCCAATGAAATTCAAACACCTTTCACTTAAAAGAAAGGCATCCATTCTCTGCTCACTTTGTTCCAGTTGCTCCTGCTAGGACTCAAAAGGTCTTTCCTATAATTATCTAGGATTTTTTTCCTCCCTCTCCTCTTTCTTTACTGTCTGTTTTTGTTGGTGAATAAAACTTTAGAACACAATAATCTAGGTTTCAAAATTCTCTTCAATTCAGTATTAATCTTTACCTTTGTACATTCCTTTTTGTCTCAGGTGATTTTTATCTTTAAGCAACTGGTCCAAACTATTCAGAAAACAATTTTTGGATGACTGTGAGAAGCATAACTCCTTTAGGTTCTTTAGAACTTGGCTTTATCTTGGTAAAAGAAGATAATAGCTGTGACGGTTCCATAAAATCTAGAAATGATGGTGTACATGACACTGGAGAAGGATTCTACCTAAATGGACATTGTGGACTGAGAGAGAGCATTGAAAGGCGGGGGGGTCTTAGCTAAGTGGGGTTTCTCTAATTGACTCGAATTTGATCTTCTAAGATCACAGAAGATAATCTTTTCTTTATAAAGAACATAGAGTCAATAGTATCTCTGCAATATTTCTTTTCCAGTGAAATCTGAAAAAGCACAATGTAATCTTAGTAATATAGAAGGAATTCATGTCAATTTTTATTTTTTAGGTACTGTTTAATGTTTTCAATGATCTTTTCTATTACAAATATTTTAATAATTGAAATTACAAAATAAAAATGATTATTTGTGTAATGTTATTTTACTGCATTTAAAAAAACTTCCTATGTATCTATTTAAAAAACATTTTAGGTAGTTCTCCAAACACTTTCCACATAAAACAGAACCACCTATTAGTAGTGTTCTATCCTAGGAGAATGACCCTTAGCCTCTCAATAGAAAATAGTTATTGAATATTTGTGTTCTAGAGCATTATTCCTAACTGTGAAACACAGCACACTTAACATCATATACAATATTTAATATATTATATATATTTTCACTTTGAACTTAAAGTTGGTTATTTTTATCATATTCCTTTAAAGGGACTTCTTTTTTAATTAAAAAGGCTTTATGAAGAGAGAGATGAATCATTATGTGTAATTATATATTTCCCTAAAGGGTTATTTTTATCAATCAGTAGTTAGACACTTATATTTTCTATACCAATCGAGTTCCTAAAGTGACATGTAATTCTTGGGAGTGGTACTTAGATGGCAGGAGAAGCTGATATTTATTCTGTTTGGTACTGAGGATAAATACTAATTTTCTCCATCTTTTGGGATCACACTATTCTAGTAACCTGGTTCGAATGTGTCTTATGAGCCAATCATTTAAAATACAGTATGGGTTTAAACTTTGGTGTTTTATCCCTATAGCTAAAATGATGTTTTTCTGGCTCTATAGCACATGTATGTATTTAAATTTTAGTACAACCAACTCTTTCCATTCCCTTTGCACAGATTAGTCAAGCAAGAAAAAGAAACCAAGGTCACGGGAATTGATTTAGCAAAGCATTTCTCTTTCAACAAATACTTTACATGGTAACCTAACAAATGTTCCCACTTCTTCTTTACTCTCCCCCTGCAGTTGCTCCCCATCAAGGCAATTCCCCGCTTCCTGCCCAGGGGTCCTTCCCACTCTGGAGAACGTCAGTGGTCTTGAGTTACTGGGGGCAACTGGGAGTGGTGAAGGCGCCTGCTCTCTGTACTCAGAAGTCTCTACCCTGAGTCACTGAGAAAAAGAAGCTCAAAACTCAACATAAACCTAACATAATTTGGTTGAATAATATCTCAATTATAGTAATCAGCATCAGGTAGATCTTTGTACTAGATAGGCTTTAAAGAACTTCTATATTTCCTTACCTTGCTGGTATCTTAAATATACTTTTAATAAAAAGAAAAATAAATTCCTTCATTAGCATGGCTGAGTAGGAAAACCTTTAAATAGCTAATGTCATAAAAATATCCTGGCTGTCTTTCACTAAAACCGAATCTTTCTTCTCAGATAAGCCAGTGTTTGAAAAAAACTATTCACTAAACATTCTTCCTTACATAATACATTTACTCTCACTTCACAGTTATAGAATAATCACAATTCCCTGTTGCATATGGACCATATCTGTTAGAAGATGAAAGAAAGGTAAAAAGGCACACCAGAAAAAAAGCATGTGTTAAAAATAATTTTTTTAAAAAAAGCCCTTCAGGTTGCTGAATCATTTCAAAGACCCCTGAAATATTTCAATAAAGGGAGCTTCAAGTTGAAGGAGGGATAGGAAATCAAAGGGTAAGAAAGAATCAGGATCAAGAACCCAGCAAGAACAAACTTTGATATTATGCATAAAAATCAAAGGCAGAATGAGGGCTCCATCAGGATACATATGTGGCACAGTTTTCCCACTGCCTGGCCGTGCGCTTAGTAAATCAGACTATACACTTTTGTTGAGAGATATTATTTACTGAAGTCAGTGATAACTGTAATACTAATCTGTGTTTTTCCCTCACTCAGGACCCACAATGGAATCATTTCTCCAGGCGCGTATTTAGCCAGTAGCTAAAGACTTCATGAGGCCAGGGGCGCCTGGGTGGCTCAGTTGGTTAAGCGACTGCCTTCGGCTCAGGTCATGATCCTGGAGTCCCGGGATCGAGTCCCAGGATCGAGTCCCGCATGGGGCTCCCTGCTCAGCGGGGAGTCTGCTTCTCCCTCTGACCCTCCCCCCTCTCATGCTATCTCATTCTCTCTCTCTCTCTGTCTCAAATAAATAAATAAAATCTTTAAAAAAAAAAAAAAGACTTCATGAGGCCAAACTCCATTGAGCATGAAATAAATTCCTTCTCATTCACCAGTAGTTTTTTTTTTAATCCCCTTTCTTCACAGCCTGAGTACATTTGGCCTTCTTAAATGCGTTTCAGGACCATGTTAATCTACTGGAAATTCCCTTCTTAATATGAGATGAAAAACTGCCACAAAGCTGGCAGCCAACAATGCTACTACACATAATTCCCAAAGTTTTCATCCGAGAGACTTCCAGATTGTTCAAGAATTCATTTTTAGAGGGCTCTAGATATTTTTTTTTTCTCAGCAGAAAATATTTTTGCTGCCTTAAAACTGGAGTATCTAAAATGTGGACTAGCCCTAAAGCCAATTGCAACAACTTTTTCATTAATATTTCTCAAATGATTCGGGGTCAATGGTCAAGAGCCATAATGCATTTGTGTGTAAGAAAAGCATGAGTTCTTCTAATGAGGTTTTTTGTTTTTTTTTTTTCTGTTTTGGGGGAAAAAAAATTTTTGCGTTTTATAAAATGTTAGTATATAATGTTATACTAATCCATACTCAAAATCAATGTGATATTCTGAAAAGAAAATGATTTGCAATTCTTAGCTAAGGGATCTGTGGCAATATTTTCAGATCATTTTATTCCCCTGAATAGAATTTTTTAAAATGATGACTACTCTATAGGGTTGAATAATCAAAGTGGCTTCTGCTGTCAGGAGGTTTTATTTTGAAAAAGAATCAAAGTCACTTATTCAATCATGGAGAAATTTGGAAAAAAAAAATTTTTTTTTCACAGTCAGACCAAAACAAAATATATTTATTAGAAATATTACACAGTCATACATCATACCCTTCCATGTCAATAGTTAAATACGTATGTTGGCATGTCAAGTCCTGACGATGCTGGGTGTGCTCTTTGTAGAAATGAGGCCACAGATCTATCAATTGCAATCAACTAATGTAGTTAAAATTAGGGAGCCACAGAGGATGTTCCAGACTTAGCCAAAGTCTAACATGGGTCAAGAAAAGTGAAACACCCAGGGAGCTTGGGCAAAGGAGATATTAAAAATACTTTTTAAAAAGGTAGCTAAGCTCCATATCCCTTACTGCACATCCTTGGTGGCTCATCTCAAAATGGCATGCAAGCTTGAGAACGGGAGGAGCTCAGCTGGATTTGGTAAATGGGTGTGCAGAGAAGGGCCCGGATTTCTGAATTAAGAGATTTGTGATTTTTAAAAAACATTCAAATCTATTTTGTTCTCCATTTACCCACCTCTCACTTCCCTAACCTCACCCATTTACCCAACTAAACATCTGTAAGTTGATTAGAGAAGGCCAGTATTA